TCTAAAAGGAGGGTCCACAAGTCCATGGCCATGTCACAACTGACTAATTATCAGATACACAGCTCTGCTCACCCTCCACATGCAGGAATGTCCTAATATTTGTCCCGTCCATCAGAGCGTGGCTGCACTCAAAGTATTAAAGAGTTTGGAACGTGGAAGAGTACCTGGAGTTCATGCAAAAAGCTCTAACATTCAGCAACACACCATTAGACTCGCTTCAACTTCACGTCACAGCGGCAAAAGTTTCATTAACCTCATTCAGCGAGACGTTCTGTTTTTAATCTTTCATTTTCTGAGTATTTCTGCTGATCAACAACCTGATTTTAGTTTAAAAAAAAAAAAAACACACAGCAGGGCTCACGAGCAGCCAAAAAAAAATCAACAAGGAAAAAACGAGGAGTGGAAATCTCTGCAAATTCTCAACTCCCCTCGGACGTCAGATCTCACTGGCGAAGCGCGAGCCCAGACAGAGATCCTCACCATCATCCCTGCAGGAGAAAGAGCAGCTCTGTTCCCGGATGACAGAAAGACACTGACTGAGAGGAACAGTGTTAGCAAATCGTCACCACGGCCTTTTAAACGAGCTTCCAGCTTTTTGGTGTTCAGCCAGCAGTAAAGAACCACGTTTTTATTTAAGTCTTCATAAATGTGAGGAGTGGAAGCAAATATAAAGGTTTGGGTATTTTTTATAAGGATAATTATGTTCGTAGGAGGTAGTTTAATGCTTTAAAGATCTCTGTGGGCCTCAGTGTTGAAGAAAACCACCAAGGTCAATGCTACAGGCAGCTGTTCCACCTACCCATACCTATATAATTATGACGCCACATGGTTTGCCAAGCTGCTCTCTCTCTTTAGTTTTCTCTCTTTCCCTCTGTTTTGGGGTAACGTGACATATTTTCTCGTTGTGGGAGAAGGCCTTCTGTGTAACCCAGATATGAGCATGCACAGCTGCAGAGGCAGGCATGTGGAAAACAGGCTCATGTCCGTCTGAGCTGCAGCAGGAGGGCAAGAATTTCTGTCGCACGGCGCTGACCTCTGACGTAGAAGTTTGTCTTTTCTAGGACGTTAAAAGCCCCCCCCCAATCTGGACCACCAAGTGCTGCTGTAGGACTGGTTTTCCTCTCCAGAGCCCACAGGCAGAAACAAAGAAGGAAACCTAAGAGGGACGGAGCCTCGTCGAAGTCTTTGTTGCCCCCTGTTCAGTCACWAATGGTTTCACTCTGTACGGAAAAGTGAAAACTGCACAACACGACTCTTTAAAATCATTTACGACGAGTTCAGATTCTGTGTAAACAAACAAAATCAACTTGTATGTTCGTCGAGCCGCCAAAATTAGGTTCTATCCTATTTTTGAGCAAACGCAAAGTCATACTACCAAGAACACACTGCAACAACAGGAAAAGGAATGAGCAGAACGTCCGTATTTTTTAAATAATTCACCAAAGAGACTAACTCTGTCAAAATCCTACCTCTATTCATAAATCTGTGGATATAATTAAACTCATGCTGTGAAAATCCATCATTCTGTTTGGGAAGCAGATGTAGCATATACGCATTCACACAAAATACAAACGGATTTTATTTTGAAATCCGATGCAATTTCGACTGTTGTGTCCRGTCCGTCTTCCACGGGCTGAATTGTTTTGGTCTGACTTCGACTTTTATTACTGGCTTTATCTCGTGATCTCGCATTTCCTGCGCATGCTTTTCAGAGCAAAAGCATTGCATTACTTTATGTAGACCCTAGGATTTAAATGTGAAAAAGAAGGGATTTAAAATCCTAATTTGGCTCCTTTGATACTGCGGTCTGAGTTAACCTCAAGTTCATGCTAGAAGATAAAAAAAAGTGGAGAAAAAATTACAAAATGTTCTGACTTTATGCTCCAAAATGAGTCTTTTGCTTTGCTGCTCACATTAGCATCACTACTTTTCATTTTTGGATGAATATCATCGCACAGGRGTTGAACTCTCAGCTCACTGATATGAAATCTGTGTTAACAAGTCATCTGTAGTGATTTATGACACGATGAAAGTGATGCTGTAACACAAAGACATCGATCATTAATCACGAGTTTAATGGCTGTCTACTTTCTAAGGAGGATTTTTTTGTGAATGCAAGGCCTGCAACATCTATTGGGAGCATCAACAGGTTCTGACACGTGTTTAGAAACAGAGAACACAGCTGGTGGGGCTCGTCTTCAGGCTGCCGAGGGACCGCTTGGATCAGAACGCCTCAGTGATTCTGATGTAATATATGACTTTACATTAAATCATCAAACTGTTTACAATCCAGGAGGAGGTCATATTTCTTTTATATCAATGTCGTTGTAAATAGCTGATTTGTTTTACATAAAACTACACAGTTTAGGATGTTTCTGTCTTTTTATTTCAGAATATAGAAACCAAAACGTCAGATATGTAGCTGTCATTATGCATATTTTCAAAACCCCTGATAAACAACAAGACAAGGGGGTTGTGGGGCAATAAAAAAAGCAGCTGCTAACATTTGTTTTCTGTCTAAATTAAGCTCAATTTTACAGATACTGAACTAAAATCTAGTGATGTGCAGATCAATACTGAAATATCGATACTACCGATACCAGATTTTTATGCTCCAGAATCAATACTAAAATTAAAATATCTATACTTTAAGTTATTTTACATAATGCATTAACAGGAAAATAGTGGAAAATAACTCAACTATTCAAATCTTGTCTTGTGTGGTTGGAGGGAACTACTTTTTCTTCCGCTTGGGTAATACATAATCACTAGAGGTATGGCAGGTTATTTTAACATAAAATCTGCTTTGTCTGTCTGTAATTACATTCTAGATGGGGGGTTCCCAAACGTTTTCATGCCATGGCCCCCCAAATAGCATTAGCTCTGGCCAGGGACCTACTTGCAAACCCACAAACAATGCTACAAAGCACACAAAGTAACAACTTTTAGAAAGTTTTTTTTCTCACTTTTATTCAAAAGCTGTATTTCTTTAGAATAAGAATTTTAAACTGTGCTAAACAAATATAGGGTTAGCGTTAGAAAGACTTTAAAATTAATAAATAAATTACTATGTCTTGTATTCTTTATAAAGCTGTTATTTGAAAAATGCTACTTTTTAAGATTTACCACATTATGTGTGTTATCACAAAGTATCAGTATCGCCAAAACCAGCCAAATTTCACTCGATATCAGTATCGGAAAGAAAACTGTCYCTATGGAACATCACTACTAAAAACGGGGTTAGTGGTAGCTGAGCCTGACTCTTAACACGTAGTGTGACTGCACAAGAGACGTATAAAAATTAGCTACTTGAAGACCATATTTAACCGTTTGAAAGGAAGCCTTTCTTTTTGTTTTCTCAGCGGTTGTTTCTGTCAGCTGAACTCAGGGGTAAAGCCAAAAGAGAAGATCTTGTGATCTGCACAACAAACACAACAAGAATCTGCACTGCTCCCAGGCTTAATGAGAATCCCTTTCAGTAACGTGATGAACAAAACAGTTCCTTCAGAGCTGCTCTTTCTCTATCAGCTCAAATAACATCAACACAGTCTATCCAGTTAAGAATAAGAAGCTGATTAGGATGGTTAGTGAGCTGCAGGGGGGGAAAAAGCATATGTTGATAAAACAAACTGAATGAGGGGGGCGAAAAGGAATTTCCTCAATAGTTTAGTGTTGACAGTCCTGAGACAAGGGAAGGTCATTGTTTGACCTGCACAATGGAGAGGCTTTAAAACAAGGAGAGCTATAAGCAGCTATAAGGTTTAATGACAAGATAAGATTATGAAGATTTTAGTTTATCAATTGAAAAAAAAATAACTCTCCAACACAAAACATCCAAATCAGACACAACCAGATTTTGAATTTTGACAAAAGCCTCTGAGAAAACATGCTTTTCACAAGTATAAATATGACTGTTTATATTATTTATAAGATAAGATGGGAATTTTAAAAATACAACTCAAACAACCAGACTGAACTGATCCATAACTAAAGAAATCACATGAAAATGCAATTAAATATGTTTTTTCCCTAATCTATTACAGCCCAACTCTTAAAGCTTTAAACTTAAAAAAAACACAACTTTGCCATTATAAAACTAATAAACAAAGTTGTATTTTCTCTGCCTTAAAGTTAAACTACAACATAATAAAGACAGTGAAAATGTGCTCTTTTCCCRCTTGTTTATCTGCTGTTTTTTTTACGTGATTACTCGATAATAACTCGGTTTAATTGCAGCCTGGAGCTGTTGCTTGCTGTATTCACTGGTGCATTTTTTTCCCTTCATTCAAAGGTTTCAGCTCAAAGGAGACAAAAAAACTTTTGCTTTTAGCCTTCAACTTGCAGTCTATGACCAAATATGGTCATGCGGGACACTTGAACGCACCTTGCGACGCTAAAAAAACAACAACTCTTTTCTCAACTTTCAGTCATTTCAGTCATTTCAGTCATTTTCCCGCAGACCTCGTTAAAATTCAACTTCCTGCCGTCGAAACAGTGGCTTTCTTTTTTACCTTCGAGTTTGTCCTCACATCCATGTCTGCTGACATTTTTACCAGATGATAATCCGCAGCGACGCAAAAGTAATCCCGAGGAGGAACTTCTATTTTATTTTTTTCTTGTTTAGGCTTTCTGCTCTGGATACCTGCTCTTCTCCGTTAACTCCGACTCGTGTCTTTCCAAGACAAACCGACACAAAAAGTAAGAAAATGGGGGAGAAAAAAAAAAAGAAAAACTCTGCAGCTTCCCCTCTCCTTTCACACAGCCCGCTGCAGGGAGCAGAGGCAGGACTTGTTACCATGGCAGCCGGTTGTTTGCCCCCTCCCTCTGCCCTCTCAGCCTCCGTCTGCCCCTTGTTTATTGTCCTGCAGGACTGAGAGGAGTGAGGATGAATATTCAGGAGCTGATGATGGGGTGAAACCGTGCTGACGAGCAGAAATCATCAACAACTTTTTCTTTCTTCACACAAAGACGTTTTTCAGACAGAAGGACAGTGAAATATCCAACAACTAAAGACAAAAAGCTGGCATTCGCTGAAGAAGCTGGACCTGATGGTAAAACTAAGATAAGTAAAATACTAGAAACTGAAAAAAAAAGGCTGATAAACTTAAAAAGTAACAAAATGTTCTCAAGAAACTAAAAATGTTTGATAAAAGCAGCAAAACAATAGCTGACAACAAAAAAGTCCAAAAAAAAATAGCTAAACAAAACTCTAGCTAAAAGTAGCTGAAGCTAAATATATAAATAAATACAAATTAAATGCTAAAAGTATCAAAAAAGCTAGCTAAAAGACAAAAGTATCACAAAACTAGATAAATAAGCAAACACTAAAAGTTAAACATAGATAAACATTAGCTAAAAGCTGAGATAAAATAAAACACAAGCTACAAGTAGCAAAGAAAAGCTCATATTTGCAAAACAAATGCTACAAACAACAAAAACAGTTAAAATAGCTGAATGTTAGCAAAATACCAAAAGCAGCAAAAAAACTTAAATAAAAGCAGCTAAATTAGATTATAAAAGTAGCTCAATGTAGCAACTGATAGCTAAATGCTAAAAGCAGCACAATACTAAATAAACAAGCAAAAACAAGCTAAAAGTTGCTGAAGCTAAATATGAAAAAATACAAATTAAATGCTAAAAAATAGCAAAAGGTCTAGGCAAAAGTAGCAATCACTAGCTAAATTAGATGTTAAAAGTAGCTAAATGTAGCAACTGATAGCTAAATGCTAACAGTAGCAAAAAGGCTAGGCAAAGGTAGCAACCACTAGCWAAATTAGATGTTAAGGTAGCTAAATGTAGCAACTGATAGCTAAATGCTAACAGTAGCAAAAAGGCTAGGCAAAGGTAGCAACCACTAGCTAAATTAGATGCTAAAAGTAGCTAAATGTAGCGACTGATAGCTAAATGCTAACAGTAGCAAAAAGGCTAGGCAAGGGTAGCTAAATGTAGCAACTGATAGCTAAATGCTAACAGTAGCAAAAAGGCTAGGCAAAGGTAGCAACTACTAGCTAAATTAGATGTTAAAAGTAGCAAACATCTAGCTAAAAATGTATCACAAAACTAGATAAACAAGCAAGCACTATCTAAAAGTTAAATGTAGCTAAACATTAGCTAAAAGCTGCTCAAGCTAGAAGTGGTAAAACACAAGCGAAGTAGCAAAGAAAAGCTCAAATTTGCAATACAAATGCTACAAATAAGTCAAAATAGCTGAATATTAGCAAAATACTAATGCAGCAAAAACCTAAATAAAAGCAGCAAAATGCTAGCTAAATTAGATGCTAAAAGCAGCTAAATGTATCAACTGATTGCTAAATGCTAAAAGTAGCACAATACTAGYTAAACAAGCAAAAACTAGTGAAACACTAGCTAAAAGTTGCACTGGCTGGCTAAAAGTTTAAAAATAGCAGAACACTAGCCACAAGTAGCAAAGAATAGTTAGTTAAATGAAATATAATTAGCAAAACAGCAAAAAAAATAACTGTTGTATTTATGTTTTCAACATACTAAAAGCAGGGCGGAAAGTAGGTCAAAGTACCACAACGCTAGCCAGAAGAAACAAATCATTAGATAGATACTAAAAGTAACAAAATAGCTAGTAGAACTTGAAGCTAGTATTTACTTAAAGTGACGGCTACATGAGAAGTTCTGATGGTTTTGCTACTTCTCCTCCACCAGTGTTGTACTTTTATTTTTCTATCCACCTCACTTCAAAAGCCAATTTAAAGGTTTAGKTTTTCAGATCCACAAATGGCTGCATGTCACTAAAAAGGCAAATAAAAMTAGCATGTTTACTTTTTTCTAAACTGACAATGTAGTGTAAAAAAAACATTAAAAATAATAACGTGCACATTTAAATTACGTTGTAGCGTTGAAACTTAAAATGTGCTCAAACATTAGCAGGTGTTAAATAATATTTAACCGGAGTTATTCAGTAAATGTGAACCTTTACATTCCGCTCCTGTTTGGAGGCGTTGCCTTGGAGGTGAGCCACAAAGTTAAACTAAACGTTATTTTCTCAGACCTTGAAGWATTAAAACCCAATTAAAAACGTAATCCCGCCAAACCTGGGTTAACTCAAACCTAATGAGCCACTTTTGGTTTGACGTTTGTCTTTTTGTGTTGACGTCACGCTCTGATTCTGGTTTGCTTTCGTCCTAATTTGGTTATATATTTTAAATTGTACAGCCCTTTTTGTTTTATATTCCGTTAGTGTTGGATACCACAGTCTGGCCTGCTCACTTTATGTTTAGTTTAGCTGAAAGAATCCTATTGCATTTTTTTATACTTTTGTAAGTTTTTCCATTTAAATTCACCACTCACATCTTTCAGATTATTTTTGTAAATTCATTTCTGAAAGATTTGCCCCACCCACCACCTCATTTATTTTTTAAACAGCCCTAATACTCATAATACCAAAATATGTTCATTTTTTTTTATCATAAACACCTCCTGTTTTTGTCCTGTTTGCCTCTAGAATTGACTAAATAAAGGCTTTTCAACAGGAATGATGTCAAACTGTGGACTGTGAATGCTCATTTGTTCCCTAAAACCCAAACTATATGAGACAAGAACATGAGAGCACCACATGAATTTCAAACCTCTGCAGTATGTGACTCAGTGGTCAAGTGGTCAGGAGCCATTAAAGCATTAGATGGAGACGAGACGTGTCTGCAGTCCGGCCTGATTGATTTAATTACACGTTTTCTCTTATGAGCCACATAAAAATGTTTAAAAATCTAAATTTTATGACCCCTTTGGATCCAGTTTGTCATTTATAACTGCAGCCTTTTCTCTTTTGTTTGCATCACAGCTAGACGCTAATGCCTCATAAAGCATCATAAAATGTAAAAGGAGATGGTTTAGCCAGCTGCTTTTAACAGTGGTACCACATTTAACATTCTTACACCAGTTCATCTATAAAACCAGCTGCATTCAGTTGTTTGAGTTGTGTGTCGTCTCATCTGGAGAGAAAAGGGGGGGGGGGGGAGAAACACACAGAGACTCTCCAACAAAACCCTCTCATAAAGGCCCGTCTTTCCTGAAAACTCTTCTGTATGAGCACAAAACACGAGGATGCTGACTGGTTTTTGTGGGATTCATTGTCCCACATGGTGGCATCTGGACTTCTCGTTAACAACCACATCCTCTGACGGTTAAACGCGGCGGCGGCATCAAAGCCTCGACTCACAGACACACGTGAAGCTCTTCCGGACACCAGGGCTCCAACTCTGAGGTCGGTCTGCACCTGCTGGAGCCACAAGTGTAAAAACACGAAGGCCTCGTGTTTCGTCTCCGCTGAAAAAGTCTTGATTTTTGTGTCAGTTATTTCTAATTTGCTATTTTAATGTTGTCTTGATCAATAATTGTGTGAGTGTTTATAAATAATTCACACCGTTGAGATCATTTTATTCTTTCGTGTGTTTTCAGCACATAGCTCGTTCCGCAATTTTTTGCGCCTCTTCAACAATTTATAAATAAAAACATTCAGCTCCTTCAAGACTTTATGACTTTTGGTAATTCAGCAATTTATACTTTTTTTAGCCACTTTTTTCCCTCATTGAAAATGAATAGAGAGGTTTTTAACATCCTTAAATGTTCTTTTTACCTTTATATTTGCTTTTTAAAGTGCCTGCGATGTCAAATTTTTGTAATACATATGAATGCATTTTTAGAAAGAGGACATTGATAAAATATTGCAAAATAAATTTCATGTTGCTGAGATGAACAGTTGTTGAGAGATTTGCCTGTGAAGTAACAGGAAGTGATGTCAAAGGGGAATGCCTTCATGTGAACAGAGCATTGTTACAACAGACTGTAGAGAAGAATCTGATGTTTTTTAAGATTATTTTGAGTCACTCAGAGAGATGAAGAAGAGTCAGGGTTTAAATAATATTGTTTCAATAAACTAAGACCAGAGAGTTTTCTTTGTTAAAGAGTTCCCCTTTGATGTCACTTCCTGTTTCACTTTGGCTGAGCCAAGTTCAAAAGAAAATATGCCACTTAACGGACAAAATGGTTTAAATCGTGTGCATTATTCCAACATTCTTAAATAAAAAAATGTTTTCTTTGACTTTTGTATTTGAAGAATGTGCATGTCACGGGCACTTTAAACTCTTTTTTAACTCTTAATTTCAGCTTCCTTCGGCTTTTATTCTACCGGTTTTAACTTTTTTCTGCCTGTTTAGCTATCATACTGACCTTTTCTGCTTTTCTTTTGCTATAATTTTAACTTTATTTTGCTTCTGCAGCTTTGTTTTGCTATTTTCATTTTTAATGATTCAGCTTTTTTGTGTTTTTAGCTACTTTTTAAGCAAATTTTTGTTGATTTTTTAGCTACATTCATTTCATATTCAAATCTTGTCATAATTTCAGCTTCGTACCGCATAAATCAGCAAGCTCGTTCTCTTTCTTTGTGCTAATTTAAGCAATTTCAGCTACTTTTAAAGCTTGTTTTAGCTTTTTTTATTTTAAGCTATTTTGCAAAAGTCTTTCAGCATTAAGCGTTCACACTGCAGATCTGAAGGTCTTTCAGGCCAGTAGGAATCCTTCAGGCATAAACAGTCAGTGTTGTGTTGAAATGCAACAGAAGCACTTTGTTTCTAGCAGCCTGTCACAAAAATGTCACAATTTGTTTCCATTTCCTTTGTGGAATCTATTTAAAAATATTAAACATAACTCAGTTTGATGGACTGAAAAACTAGTGTGAATCTCTACGTACGGTTGAGCAGCTGCAGGATGATGCAAATCAGCACCAGCTCTTTGTGGGATTTCGTTTTTAAAGACACACTTTTTTTCTCGCTTTCCTCGTGTTTTAAGCATACAGTGCACAAAAATCTGACATGTCAGGGATGAAAAAAATGAATTTTTGGTAGCAAAGTAGAAATAAATTCGGGTCTGTTTAAAACGTTTGCACAGTTTTGTAAATGGGAACGTAGTTCTGAGATTTCTGCCACCTACACTCCAAAACTCACCAGCGATTTTTTTTTCAGCCTCTACACATTCCTCAGGGTCAAAGGAGGAAAAAAGTCACATTATCACAATCATCTCCTCCATATTTCACAGCAACATTTTAGCCACAGCACACACACACACATTTAATTTTCCAAACCAGACCCGAGGCCACTCTTTAACTCCAGGATTAAGCTGAGGCATCTTGTCAACGACTGAGAGAGAAGACGCAGCCCGTGGAGCAAAAGACATCCTCTCCTGTTTAAAAGTGCAAGAAGTCAGCTGGAAGTGAGCGACAACACTCCAGAAGATGAAGACCACCTGTTTTCTTTTACGTTCGATTGGACGCAGTGCAAGAAAAATGACGCTGTGGCTGATCTGAGCCTGTTTGGAGACAATAATGTAAGCTGGCTGATTACATACAGACCACATTCTGCTCTCCGGGGCCTGTGGGAAAAAATAAGCTGCTGTCAGGTTCATCAGTTTCATCTATCACCGCTTGGCACAAAACTCATCACTTCATCTTGATTTTCAACAATAAATGTGTTTTTTAAAGGTGTTCCATTGCCAGCTCAGATTTATGCAAACACTCCCAGAAAAATAGAGAAATAAGATAATGTTTTGGGATAAAAAATATATATATTCTGCTCATTCTTTGATTAATGACAGAAAAATCTGAGTTTGAAGCTTTTTTCTCTCTCTCTCCTTTGAAAAACCAAAACTTGTATTCCTCTAACAACGCTCATATTGTGCAACTGTTTCTAAAAATGCTCTGAATAGCTGGAGCTCCAATCTTGCAACATAAGTTTGGGGACAGAGTTTAAGACAAGGACTTTCTTTTTATCTCTATATATCTCCCTCAGCAGTCACAACAACGGAAACACAAYATGACTCCGAAAACCTTGAGGACAACTGCAAAGTCTCAATAGATCCTTTCACACAGGAATGCCTTGCTTTTAGGAACAGGAGGAAAAAAAAGTTTCCATGATGTGAATCTTTGAATTTTTAAGAATTATTGGTTCAAATCGTAAGAACAGGGAGTGAATAAACTCTGAAGTGATGGAAACGTTTGTGGGGGAGTTGGGGGGTTTCCAGACTGTCTCAAAAATTGATTAGAGCCTTGTTGTGGCATGAAGTCAAAGTAAACACACAGCTGAGAGCAAAAAAAACTATTGATTACTGCATGGATCAGATTTACAGCTCTCGGGCGCCCCCTGTAGGCCAACCGGTGTTAATGCAGCAGAAAAGATGAAAACAAAAAATACAATTAAAATAAAAATAAAACCAATAGAAAGTAGCAGAATCAAGTTAAAAAAAACACAAAAACATATATAAACTCACTCATGTTAGTCATAAACAACGCCAATAAATACAAAAAGGTTATTTTCTTGAGCTGCATCTTTACATAAGAAAAGTTAATCCCGTTAGATTTACTCAAAACATCATCCAGTACATAAAAGCAATGAAACGTACCGTTTTTCTGTGTTGCTTCGGTGGTTTTTTGGGTCAGTGATCCATTGTTGAGCCGAGCCTGGCTTGCTGTCTGTCTGTGCAGACTGAACACTGAGATTCTGAGGGAAAACACTCAACTAAACCCAAATGAGTGAGGAGGAGGAGGAGGAGGAGGAGGAGGAAAAAAGGGAAAAAAGTGGACTGAACAGGAAATGGTGACGCAGCTGAATGGAAATCACTCAGTTAAATGAAAAGAAGATGGTTGCAGTTATCACATTATGAGCACAGTTAGTCAGACTTTCAGTCACTGATTTATCTGGAGTTTCCCTGGAGGAGTTTCAGGTCTGTTAAAAAAAATAGATGTTGATGGATCAAAAGTTACCTGAGCTGGAATTTTTTTAAAGTCTTTGGACGTTTTCAAGGAAAATATTTCAAAAAACAGAACTGACCAAAAAAGTCCAACTGAGTCACGAATGTCTGTTTTTCCAATCAGTAGCTTTTTTTTTGTTTTGTTTTGTTTTGTTAAAAACTCAATACAGAAAAAATAAATAAATGAAAAATTTAAAAGCCACCCGGACGACATCATTTTAACTGCTTTTAAGATTCAGTTTACACAGTAAACTCACTCAGATTGGTTTTAATAAACTCCTAGATGTTAATAAAACTTGGATTATTGTGTTTAATAGAGTTGTTAAGCAACAAAGTACAAATACTTTGTTACTGTACTTAAGTTGAAATTTTGGTTATCTGTACTTCACTTGAGTAAATTAATTTCAGCCTACTTTTTACTTCTACTTCTAACATTTTCACACAATTATCAGTACTTTCTACTCTTTTTTAAAAAGGGCAAGAAAGTTGTTATTTTTATTTRGTTTTTGCTTGTTTTCATTCCAGCTTATTGCAAAAAAATTAAAAACTATCCATTTAAACTGTGCCTCCTAGATAGAGTTAACTGTGTTTGAATGAGAAGTATAAATATATAAAACTCTGATACTGTATTAGTTTGTACACAAACAAATCATGTCACACTCCAGCAGGACATAATCATTAAAATAAAAGGA